AGCCCCCAGGCTCCTAGCAGCCAGGCAGACAGCGTGGCCGCATGAGCCTTTGCCAAATGACCGAGTGAGTGCCCAGGCGGGCGACAGGGACGGCTCTGGCTGAGCTGGCACGGCAGCTGTTCAGTCCTCCGTGCACTCCTGTGTGCGAGGCCTGGGCCGAGGCTGGGGTCACAGCACACACGGGTTCGGCTCCCGCGGGGCTCCCAGTCTAGTTAGTGGGAGATGGAGCTGGGGGATGGAGGAGTCCATATGCACCTTGGGCCATGGGTGAGGTCAAGGAGGGCTTCCTGGAGGAGTCGTACCTGAGCAGCTGAGACCTGGCCGAAGGTCAGGTGAGTGGGTGAGCCAGGCAGAGGGCAAGGCTTGGGCTCCATCCCACGGCGGGAGCACGGTGCACGGGCCATGCTGACGCCCTGCCGTGCCCTGGGCAGGTACCTGTTCCTGTTCGACAAGGTGGTCATCGTCTGCAAGAGGAGGGGCTACAGCTACGAGCTGAAGGAGGTCATCGAGCTGCTCTCCCACAAGGTGACCGACGACCCCATGAACAACAAGGATGTCAAGAAGGTGGGTCCCGGTCCTAGGGGGGACGGTGGGGCAGCGGGGCGCACAGGCCAGGGGCTGTTGCGGAGTGGCCCCGGGGAAGGGTGGGCTGCAGTGGGCAGGGCTTCCCTTGTCAGTCATCCTCTTGTCACTGTGACTCCTGCTGAAGGCGCCCCTCTGTGCCGGCCCAGCCCTGGCTTTCATCTGAGTCTTTCCGGGAGCGGGAGTGGCCAGGATCGCAGTGCCCAAGTGAGGGGATGAGCAGAGGGACCCAGCCAAGTGCTCGGGTGGGAGTCGGGCCTTAGACCTTGGCCCCCGACTCCAGTCCACATTGGCCCTGCAGGAAGCAGTCCTTCCTGCCCCTGCCCACCCTGCCGAGGAGGGCCCTGGGTGGGCCTGGGGTCCGCTGTCAGACTGCTGCCCAGTCAGTGGGCCATGCTGCTGGGGGTGGGGCCGTGGCTATTGGGGATGGGGCCATGGCTATTAGGGGTGGGGCATGACTGCTGGGGATGGGGCCATGGCTATTGGGGATGGGGCCATGGCTATTGGGGATGGGGCCATGGCTGCTGGGGGGGGGGCATGACCGCT